AGCAGTCTAACTCGCTGATTACCCTGCACGAAGAGATGCAGCGCGACCTGCCGGCCCAGAACTGTGGACTGCGTCTAATCGAGTTCCTCAACAGCAACAACAAATCCGCGAACGAGGTGCAGGCAGTGGCAATACTGAATGCCATGCTGGCCGCTGGTTTCCTAGAGCCAATCGTCCCCGATCCCGAGCAGGTGGAGTTCGATCCCACGCTGCACTACAAGTTTTCCAAGAGCAACAGCTCGGATACATCCCGTACAATCAGTCCGCAGTTTGAGGCGGCTCCCCATGCGGAACCACAGCCGCCCAAATCTATGGATCAATCGGCCGAAGAAAAAGAGAAGGAGCTGGAAAACGAACTGGAGAACGATCGTTGCTTTACCACAGCCACTTCAAAGCTGCTTGCCTCTTACTGTGACCACGAGGAGCAACTGTTGGCACAAATGTTGCGCGCCAATGGCTTGGACCAGGAATGGGACAAGGTTCTGCAGATGCTATGCTCCACGGCAGCCAATCACTTCAAGCCGGAGCACTGTAGTAACGATTTAATGGATATCCGCAACTATGTGAACTTTAAGAAGGTGCCTGGTGGCAGACGCAAGGACTCGAAGATTGTCCATGGAGTGGCATTTTCCAAGAACGTGGCTCACAAAGATATGGCCACGCATGTGCCCTTTCCTCGCATCCTTCTGCTGCAGTGCCCAATCGTCTACGAACGTATCGAGGGCAAATTTGTGACCATCGAGACAGTCCTACTGCAGGAGAAAGAGTACTTGCGCAATGTCTGTGCCCGCATCATGAGCTTCACACCCAATGTTGTGCTCGTCCACAAGAACGTGGCTGGGATTGCACAGGATCTCCTTAGATCTTATGGCGTAACCCTCGTCCTGGATGTGAAACTCTCGGTGATGGAGCGTCTGTCTCGGACTCTGCAGTGCGACATTGTCAGTTCTATTGAGTCGAATATAACCATGCCCAAGCTGGGCGACTGCAATGATTTTTACATACGCAACTATAATGGCAAGACGCTGATGTTCTTTGAGAAGCTGACCAATCCTCGGGGATACACTTGTCTTCTGAGGGGCGGGAGCAATGCGGAGCTTACTAGGGTCAAGCGAGTTGCATCGGCGTTGCTTTTTGCACGCTACAACTGGCGCTTGGAGATGTCGTTCCTGCTGAACGAGTTCGCCCAGCCGCTTAGTCCGAAACCCTCGATTTTCGACTCCAAGGAAACAAGTCCGAAAACTGAAACGGAGGCGGAACTTCGAGCTAAGCGACCTGCCATTATGGAACGCAAATCGGAGGATAAGATTACCACCATTGTCAGCGAGAATGTATCGGATTTCACAGATCCACTGCGTTCGACCCAAGCCGAAGCTTTGTCCACTTCGCCCTGTGCTCCACCCGTGGTGGAGGCATTGGCTGTAGAACCCCGCTACGATAACCGTTTCCGCACAGCACTCAGTTCCACTCTGCTCTCGGTCAGTCCCTTCCTGACGTTTCCACTTCCTTATTTGGAAACGGAGCAGGGAAGGAAATGCAAGCTGCGCAAGCTCTTTCCTGCTGAACTATATTTCTCCAAACAGTGGTCTCGGACGGGATTGGAGAGGCCAGATAGCGTGGGAGACAGCGATACCAGATCAGAGCCAGGAAACAAAGAAAACCAGCAGATGCAGCTGCTTCCGGCTCATGGCTTCGTGCAGATGAAGATCACGGCCCCGGCAAGCAGTCGCGACATTCAGACCAAGCTGGCAGAATTCCGATCCTTTGGCGGTCGCTTACCCAAGGGCAAGGCTCCCAGTAAGCACAAAATTGTATCCATCTATAAATCCATATCATTACCACTCATTTACCCCACAGTGCTCCGGCCGAAGAAAAAGAACGCAGAGGTTATTCAGCGACCACAGAAGGTCAGCGAGGAGCAGCTGTACAAGGATGCACTGGATCCGCAAAACCACCAGCGCCTGCCGGTGCTCTTCTGCAGTTTCCACTACAATCCCAAGGGCGTTTCGTCCTTCTGCAAGATGCCCATGCTGCTGGACATGAAGTTTTACGGCCAATATGACATCATGCTGGAGCAGTTTCTCCAGCGTTACTGCTGTCTCTTTAACTCGATGTGCCCGTCGTGCAATTTACCTATGCTGGGTCATGTGCGTCGCTATGTTCACTCGCTGGGCTGCGTCCATGTTTACCTAACCGAGGACTTGACCCGTTCCGACCCGAAGCGAATATACTTCACCTCCTGGTGCAGCATTTGCAATGCCACCACGCCCACGATTCCACTTGCCGACTCCGCGAAGTGTCTTTCGCTGGCCAAGTATTTGGAGATGCGCTTCCATGGCCACGCCTACAAGCGACGACCTCCTCCGTCGGATGCAGAGCAGGGTGGCAGTCCATGCGAGCACTCATTGCATCGTGACTATGTACACCATTTTAGCTTCCGAGGAGTGGGCGCCAAATTCCAGTATACCCCTGTTGAGGTTTGGGAAACGGATCTGCCCTCGTTAACTTTGCAACTGGATCTGCCGCCACCCTTCCCCAGCTCGCAAGCCCAGGAGGATATCAAGAACTTCTCCGTTCGGGGTCATGAGGTGTACAACAGGATTCACGAGCGTATTGCCGACCTGGCCACCGAGGAGGAGAACTCGCCACTGGTGCAGCAACTGAAGACAATGCTTACCCACGACCAGTTTATCTTCAAGCAGAAGATCGAGATCGTGCACACGTTGCTCACGGACAACAGGGCCACTGCTTATGACACCAGTGATGCCATGGCCATGGCGAGGAGAGCTCTGGCAGAGAGCATTGAGCTGTGGGGTCCACGGCTGCAGGAAATCGAGAAGCTGACCGCCAAGCAGGCCCATCACATTGACTCCGGGACCATCTGTACGGAGGAACTCAGGCCAGAGCAGGTCCAGTCTGTGGATCCTTCCAAAGCTACGGGCTCTAATTTGCCCAGGGAGAATGACCCCTTGGAGTGTCCCAGCGAGGATACAGAAGTTACTGCATCGAGCAGTCAACTAGTTTCGGAGAAGAAATTTAATATTGACCAGTTGCTAGCCTCTACCGTCAACGTCTACTCGGATAAGAAGACTGTCAAGCAGTTTCTCACCCAGCTGTTGCCCTCGGCGAATCAGGTGAACCCGCTGCAGTCACCTTTTCCCGCGCAGGATCATCTGACGCTTCCAATGGGATGTATACCCATTCACGTCAGGGAAACCGATCTAAGTTCGGTGATTGCTTATAGCTTGACCTCGGCGGAGTATCAAAAAGCAGTAGAAGAGGCAAAAGCAAACTCCAATGCGGCTCCTGCCTCGGCTGCCCATTCAAGTCCGCAGTTGAAGCGGAAGATTCCACTGGCGGAGAGCGTAAGCGACGCCGAGGACAGCCCCAGTCTTTCCCGAACTTCAAGCAATACCAGTGCTGCACCGTCTGCACCTCCTCCAACATCCACGGCTTCTGAATCCGAGGAAAAAAGCAAGGATCGAGCAAGCACAAAGCAGACACCGAGTCCCCATATCACCCTGGCATTCCAGGACCAGAGTTGCCAGTTCCAGTGCAAGATCTACTTTGCTCGCGAGTTCGATGCAATGCGATCCAAAAGCTTGAAACCTCCGAAGTTGGACAAATCCCTCTATCGCCGTCTGGAGAAGAGCAAGATGCGCGAGGAGCTGAGAATCTCACAGAGTCGCACCGGATCAGAGATGGAACTGGTGCGCAAGCCCAGCGACGTCGGAGGACCTCGTAATACGGAGGAAGAATCGAATCTAGAGGAGGATGCCAGGATCGCTCTGGCGAGGAGCCTTTGCAAAAGTGTCCAGTGGGAGGCGAGGGGCGGTAAATCGGGTTCCCGCTTTTGCAAGACGCTGGGTAAGATTTCTTCTGAACTAAATTTGCATTTCAATATTTAATAACCTTTATTATTGAACAGATGATCGTTTTGTGCTCAAGGAAATGAACTCAAAGGACATGACTATCTTTGAGCCATTTGCTCCGAAATACTTTGAGTACATCGATAGATGTCAGCAGCAGCAACTTCCCACCTTGCTGGCCAAGATATTTGGCGTTTTCAAAGTCAGCGTGAAGAAAAAGGAGTGGGTTTTAGTTAGCTATAGATACTGAAATCATATAATTAACCTGCAACTCTATCCCAACTTCAGTTCTTTCGTGGAGCGTTCGGTGATGGTCATGGAGAATCTGTTTTACGGTTGCGATATAGAAAACAAATTTGATCTTAAAGGCTCAGAGAGAAACCGATTGGTAGATCCCAGTAACCAGCAAGGCGAAATTGTCCTGCTGGATGAAAATCTGGTTCAGAGTGAGTTTTTTGTCCTTACAAACCTTTCATAATTCAAAAAATTAATATACATTTTGTTTTAGTGTCGTGGTCAAAGCCTTTATATGTACTGTCTCACAGTAAAACAGTTCTCAGGGACGCCATTCAGCGGGATTCCTCTTTTCTGGAGAGAAACCTTGTCATGGACTACTCACTGTTGGTGGGTTTGGACAAGAAAAACAGCGTCCTCGTTTTGGGCATCATAGGTGGGCCCTAAAGCACTATTAACTAATTATTTGGTATACTTTAATGGTTGTATATTATAGATTACATTCGCACCTTCACCCTGGACAAGAAAGTGGAGTCCATCATCAAGGGATCGGGCATCCTGGGCGGCAAGGGCAAGGATCCCACGGTGGTCAATCCGGAGCGCTACAAGCAGCGCTTCATCGACGCCATGGATCGCTACTTCCTCACAGTTCCGGATCGCTGGGAGGGCCTCTCCAAGGTCTGATCCACCCCACACAACCCACCCACACAAAGTGCACACTTTAGTTAACACAACATAGCTATAGACGCAATAAAGTAGACGCCAATCCCACTCAATCCGAGTCAAACAACACTTTGTCAGCCAGCATTTCCGACGCCGCAGGCGAATTGATTTGCCCTTGACCCGCATCCGCACCCCGGAAGCCACCGCTGCTCATGACAATTGAAAGCCATGTACTCCGGAGTTGCGTGCCAGCCAAAAAAGGAAATTATTATCATGATGGAGACCGCGTCGCGAAATGAAATCGTTAAGAGGCGAGTAAATCAGGCAAATGTGCTCGTTGGTGCCTCCTCATAAGCATGGTTTCATTAGCGAAGCGTCAAATTGTTGCGAACTGGGTTAAGGAACTCAACTCTGACAGCTGCAGCGGGTGGCCAAAATCGGATTCAAAATACCATTTCATATTCAAATCAACTGCAGCTGGCAACTTTTGATTTCTCTAGAGGAGTTGGAGGAGGAGGTGCAGGTGGAGCAGGAGTAGCAGGCCATAAACTACGCGATTGCATGCAGCAGCACTTAGGGTACAGCCCAAAAAAAAGGAATGTAGCCCCTTTTTGTTGTAATACCCCAGTGACACCTCAAGTCAGTCGCCGTGGGAAAATGTTGGAAAAGCAGAAGCGCATTGGAGTTGAGGAAAAAGGAGGTGGAAAGGTCGGAAAGTTGGCGTGCGAAAAGTGGCTAACTTCTTGGTGGCGCACATTGGCGCCGTTCAGTTGGGATTTACGATCTGAGCGGTCAAGTTGTGGTGCGGCGAGCTGCGCTTGAATGGCGCCATTTGCGGTTCGGTGGGCTCGGAGGAGGTCGGTGGCCAGTGGTCAGGGGTGTGCCCAGCATGGGTGCCCAAAGTTTTTCCCGCAAAGTGCAGACTCATTAAATGTTTAATTAAAGTGCAGCCCCCTACGAACAGGAAACCAACTATGGCGATTGCCTACGATTGGAAAACCAACGATGTGTAAGGAGTTCAACTATTTTTCGTTCTCTACTATCCCAGTTTTAACATTAAGTATTCAAGCTAAAATTTTCAACAGGCAGTGGAAAACTGACCTTATTCACTTCCTGCTAAAGTGGTTTCATGTGTACTGTTATGATAGCCCAAGTCCTCAGTCCTTATCCCACATTTCACCAGCTAGTTCAACTGACCCAATTTATTCGTTAAAGTGCTTGGTAATAATGGCCACATGACACTGATTAGATTTATTTTTAAATATCATGAAATCATTTTATTGAATTAAAGCACACAAGTTAACGGATGTGCTGAAAAAATGCACTCAAGAATTCGCGTTGAGTTAAAGACATTTGGAGGTAATGGAGATTTGTTTTTTAATATTACATACAATTTGTTTAATTTAGCACATTTACTTAAAGTACTTTAAAAACTCTATCTTAGGGCTAGATATTTTTTTCTAATTTATAGAAAAACCGTCATTGGTATCCAATTTCTGAAATTCAGGTCGAATATCTCGTTTCAGTGTATCCAATCAAAATTGAGGCAAGTGTCATACGGTCATAGAAAAAATATATTAAATATATTAGTTCTTTTAAAACAATGTTCTTGACACCTAATGACCTACTAAAATTTTAAATATGCCTAGTATTTATTGGAATAAATTATAATATTTTATAACATCATTTCCTTGGGAAAACTATAAAGTTTCACTACTCCATTTGCAACTAATTCCAAGTGAGTGATGTTCGACCTAATCGAAATCCCGGTTGCGGTTGACCTTGTCTTGTTTTTATTGCTGTTAACATAATGGTGCATTCTTGTTTGCTGCATTACGTATACGCCCTGTGGCGTGACTAGGCTGTGTAACAGCAATTAAATCGTCATAAATCTGCAACTGTAATTATGTGTGTCCAGGTATCGCAATGGCCAGCACCTGATTAGCATATTTAAATGGGTTGCGTTACGCTGGCCCCCTTTAAAAATAGCCAAAGGTCATTTGGCATTGTCAAGATTACCCGTTCGCTTTCGCTGGACTTCCACCACGAAGTTCCTAAGTCTTAGGGGCGAAAGTTGGCCCGAAATTGGGTCAGACTTGGTTACGTGGCAGCCCTTTTATGTTCCTGTCTGTTTCCGTTTCTGATTCGAAAAGCCAGCGAATCACGCACACTCCCCCGCATCATGCACAGAAATTTGAATCACGGATAGTACAACATTTTGGCAGCCATCAATTATAACCATTAGGCTGGCACATATTCCCACACGTGAGAACTTTTAGAACTTTTACCCATAACGAACGTAAACTTTAAACTCCGTACAGGTAGGCTGGGCAACAGGTGTTTGTGGTCACATTTAGCCCGGTTCCGTTCTGGGGTCCTAAAAAAAAAAGTGCAATTTGCATGCGCGCAGGTTCACCTTTGACTGGCAATCCTTGTGCATTTTTAATGGCTTCCTAGCCCGGGCGACGAGTCCTTGGCAATGCCTTGCCTCAACAAAAAACTCATTTCCGGATATGGATTACCAAGGACCCCAGTCGGAGTGGCGCGGGCGTTGTCAGGACTAACAAAAGTCGGGAATTTACTGAGCTATTGATTGGCATTGATTGGAGTGAGCAGGGCATCACATATGAACAGGGACGGTTTTGGTAAAATGAGGGTTAAGGAAATTTATAGGGCTTATTGGAATTATTTCTTTTAAATTGGCAAGAACAAATCTTAAGTTAAAAATCTTCTGATATTTCTTTTCAGTGTGTACTTATGAGGACTAACAGTTAAGAACTCTTAACTTAAGAACTCAGTGGGAATACCTCTAAATTATGTGTACTTATAAGGACTAACAGTTTAGAACTCTTAATTTAAAGTTGATCATTTAAAGTTTTGATCGATTGATAATTTAATAATATTTTCAAATGTTTTATAAAACTAAATCTCAAAAGTAGTGTCTTTGAAGTAGGGATATTCCAATAAAATTTATACTTAAGGACTTGTTTTAAAGTTAATCACTTCATATATTGTAATTAAAATATTCCTTTTTAAATAGTTTTTGACCATCTAAGGCTTATTTCTTAGCCTCTCTGAGCTCCCTAAAAACCTCAGATAGACCCTGCCTTTGGCTGCCGACTGCTCCCGTCGAAACCAATAGACAATTTTCTAATTTGCAGCAATTTCATACTTTTCCTATTCATTAGTTTGTTTACTAAGGTTTGTGAGTGTGCCTAGCAACTTGGTGGTAGAGCACGCCATGGGCCAGAAATGGATATGGAGGTGGATGTGGAGGAATGCCTTTGCACTAGCTGCCTTCCTAGAGGAGCCTCCACCTCCGATCCGCCAATCCGAGACTTTACCATTGCAATTGCAAGGGGTCGCAGGGAGATGGAGGAATTTTTGTGCCCCCGTTATTAAGGGACCTACCTGTTATTTGGTTGTGGTGGCGACCACCAGCGATACCCGTAACTTTGCCAGTCAGTTGGCAGTAAAAGACAAGACGAAGCGGATGTTTCTTTTTTGATAGGAGATCCTTAAAAGATTTGTATAATCCCACAGCTTTGATGCGGATTTCGGCTGGAATCGCTCCTTCTCAGAGCCGGATCTCACAGCCAACCAGAAGCAGGGCGACCTCAGCCGGTTCGCCATCAAGCATCCGCACGAGTACATAGCCGTCGATGACCTCAAGTACTTCCGTCGCCGGCAGCCCGTCCATCTGCACACCCGGAGCAACGTGTGCCTCTACAGCGGCGATGAGCCAGTGCCCAGCTTCGGCTCCCTGAAGTCCGAGTACCGCAAACACTTCCGCGGCACCCAGTCCAGGCCCAGATCCCTTCTGAGACGCGCCACCTCGCTGCGACTGGAGGGATTCATGCAGCTGCTGTCGGAGCACCAGGAGAAATACCACTGGTACACGCCCGAGGACCTGCGATTGTAAGTAGATAAATACTTTCTATGAAAGTTAGTGGAACACTTATATACTTACAATGGGTACTGTAATGGGAAAAATCCAGAAGAAATATATAAACCTACTACTAATAAAGTCTAAAAATCTGGTAATACTGTTAACATTTTATTTTCATTAATATTCGTTATTACGTAAGAAAAGAGAGTGTCTTATAAAAAATAAATGAAAAATAATACAACATCCTACTAAATCACTAAATTTATGAAAAACACTTTATTTGAGGTTCTAGGGTTAGGTTTCAAAGTTGATCACTTGTTCGTTCTGTGATTTTTAATGTAAATTTAAAATATACAATTCTTTTTGTGCACTCTATTTTTTTGAAACATTTTTCTTTTGAAACCATTAAGTTAAAAATTATAGAAATATGGTTTGCAGCCAAATTTCTTCTGACATACTAGTCGTATGGGTGATTTTTAAGAAAGCCTTAAGACCATTGTGCAATGACTAAATTCTACCTAGAGGCTTTTACTTTTCGAAAATGTACATTTGTTGCACACCAAAAAATACCTATTTAAAGATACAAATTTTTTGGACCACCCTTATGTATGTATGTATCTACGACGTAGGTCCTGCGTAGTTATAGTTTCAATTCACAAGTAGAAAAGAATTAACCTTTAATACCTGTAATTTACCCTGTATTTTTAGAAAGTACTAATCAAAAATGTTTCGATACCCGTCCGCAGCTCCCGCACGTTTCCCGTTCGCAATCCGGAGAACCTGCAGTTGGGAGAGGGAAGCGGAGCCGCCAACGCCGATGGCATGAAGAACTCCTCGTACCTCATGCTGGATCCCAGCACCAAGATACTGCCACGCGAGGTGTTCCTCGACGAGTCGGAGGTGGCGGCCAGGAACCAACCCAATCCCAACAACAAACTGGCAGCGGACAAGTTCCGGCGGGATGTGGCCGCTCAGGAGCAGCAGCGATGCCACCTGCAGATGCGCGCCCAAGCCGTGGACCGGGAGCAGCAGGGCCAGGTGCCAGAGCCTTCGGAGTACCGTCGCCAGTTTGTCCAGCAGTTCCCCGAGAAGGCGCACTCCATTCCCCAGATGAGTAGCATCAAAATCCAGGGTGAATTCGTGGCCGTGCCGGAGTACAGGGACAGCTTTCGGATGTATGCCAACTACTCGAAGAGTGCTCCCATCAAGAAGGACGACAACCTGCGCGTCTCCGGCTCCGAGGGCTCCTGTGCCCCCAGTGCCGAGGTGCCGGAGTACCGCGACAAATTCATCGACCCACCCAAGCACGTGGCCAAAGAGAAGTCCCTCAAGACGGACGATCACCTGCGTCCGCGCGGGGAGTTCACCAAAGAGATTCCCGAATACCATGAGAGCTTCCGAGACCCGCACATCACCGAGATGCCGGAGCGGGGAAAGCCACGAGAGCCCTTCCTCCGGCTGCGCGGCAAGATTGAGTTCAATCCGGAGTACAGAAATAACTATCAGGATTTTCCGCGCTCGCGACCCGTCGTCCAGAAGCCCACCTCCTGCTTCCGACTGCCCACCTCGGGTGTTTCACCCTCCGTCCATCACCAGCCGAATGAGGATGTGGAGACTCCTGTCCTGGTCACAGTGCCTCCATCGGAGGTAACGGCCACGCCGGAATACCGCCGGGCGCAGTACAACTATCAACTGCGCGAGCGTCCCAGGGATTTGGAGGGAGTTCCATCTGGTGTGCCGGGAAATCTCCGCAAGAGTTCTGATTCTTCATTGGAGGCAAGGCAACCGCAGATACAGATTCCCCACAAGCGGAGGACATCGCGTCAGCGGCAGATCAAGGAGCCCGAGCAGCCAATGGCCAACAGCTTCCAGGATGTGGGCGGCAATGCGGCCAAAAAGCCAGCCAGATACGGCCGACGAGCTTCCGTCCTCCAGAACGCAGCCAGTTGCCGTGAGAACTCCTCGATCATCGAGGGGAATCCCAAGTACGCCGTGGGTTGTCGACGGGCAGCCAAGCAGCCACCCGGAAATCAAACTCAGCCCGGAGCCTTCGTGGTGCTCGACGAGCCATGCAAGCCTTCCAACTGGATGAAGAAGACCTGGTACGACTCCTAGGTCAGCGCATCTACACCTAATTACTAGTATTCTGTTTTCAATCTGTCTATTGTAGAGGAATAAAAAAATATCATGAAAGATAAAAAATATTTCAGGATCAATTTTTATATTCACAGGCTTACAAAAAGTATATTCATGTACGTTTACTAATCTAAAAAAATATTGGAAAATGTTTTTATGTTAATTATGAATTGAATATGGGACACCCTGAAGTTGTATCTCTCTCATTCATGGCGCAAAAATGTAAACAAATAGTTGACTTCTCACCTCAAAAATGTTTGGGTGACTTTAATCTTATCTCCCCGTGGTTGATAGTGGTTGAAAAAGAGAGAGCGCTTACTCATAGAGTTTCAGGTTCAGTATCACCGTGGATTTCGCAAGCTGCAGATGTAAAAAGCGAATTTATTATACGTGATTCAAAGGGGAACTCCCACAGGATCATAGCAGATCATGGCAGACACGGAGGTCCATGCCGGAAGTCCTCCACCCCATATCCTTGGCTACACAATCCGTAGTCGCACGAGAATTTGGGTTTCCTATATAGTGCCGACTTGTTTGGGACTCCTCGTTTACATTGTGCAAACCGCATCGGATTTGGCTCTAAGTTACCAGCACTTCAGCCAGAAGGATCCGGGTCTTGGAGCTGGTACACTGGTTCTGGTGATCCTTCCGCCATTGATCACCTTCCTCCTGGTGGCGACTTCTAAGGAACAGAGGGATTGCGCCTGCTCGGAGCGGAATAAATGCATTGCCCTTGGCATTGGACTGCTTAAACTATTGCTATTCCCATTTTTTGTGATTTACAGGTGAGTGGATGGTGAGAAATGTGGGTCACTGCCATTTTTATTAACTTTACCCGATAAGGTTTTGTACGCGCTTGTTTTGGGCCATCGAGGGACTCTTCCACGATGACGACGATGTGGAGCGCATGAAGTGCTTGGCCAAGGCCACAGAGACCTCCAACATTGAGCTATACCTATTGATCCAAGCCTATGCCCAAGCAGCTCCGCAAATCATCCTTCAGCTGTACTACATGCTCACCCAGGATTTGTTCAGGAACTATGAGACCTGTAAGATATGCTATGCAGGAAATCTCCGGTTTTTACTAGCCATACTATTCTAAACAATTTGCTTTTTTAAATGTGTTGTACCAATCTCTTCTGAAGAATGCGCTGTTATAAAGCAAAGAAAAACCGCGAATTCTCCAGGGAAAGGTAGCTTAAAATTCTAAGTAGATATTGTCCACCTAAAATTCTAACTTATATGGAAAGATCATTAAAAAAGAAATTTAATTAGTTAAAAACGATAAATGCAAAAGTAAATTGATAACCGGAAGCCGCCTAATATATCCACCTTTATCCTAACCACATTCATCCCCACATTTCAGCTGCCGTTCAGGCCCTATCCCTGGTATTCTCCGCCATCGATCTGGCTGCCATAACCACCAGTTATCATAGGATCGAAAGTCAGAGAAGGGTGGGTCGCCATTACCCTTGGGCCACGCCCCAACAGATTAAGACCCATCGCTGTCACTTGGAGCAGAATGAGCGCCTGTGCTGCGAGGCTGAGCGGAAGAAACGCGAATCCGAGAGGACCATCACCAGTTTTCCGGAATCGGACAAGATCATGGAGAACTTCAGATCCCGCAAGTCATTGCCCAATGCCGGGGAAGCCACCCATGAGATGCACATTCATGGGGAAGACGAGGTGGATAACGATGCTTTGGAACAGATGGAAACACGAGCTTTGCTTCACTCCGGACCCCGGGATAATGCCACTGATGAGGAGAAGATTCAGGGTACAAGGCCCAAATTGAAAGTGCGTTACGAGGATCTGGGAGATCTGGACACCATCGAGGTGCTGGACAGCATACCCGAGACACCGGCGCCACCACCTCCTCCAAAAACGGCGCCACCCGAGTTGCCCGTTCTGAAACCCACCGAAGATGACCCACCAACTCCTGATTTGCGACGAACAATGTCGGATACGGAGCATCGAAAAAGTAGAAGGGTCACCAGACCCCTGTCCCAATTGGAGACCTTCAAAGACATGCTGCTGGTCAACGCGCAGCTATACATCAAAGAGAATGTTCCACATCCTCCCAAGCTGCTGATGGGCAGGGTCAAAGAAGAGGATCCAGAAGAGAGCAGTGTACTGATTCCGCAGTCGCCCAAACCATCTCCATTGACGCCCAAGGATGTGGTGGACTTTTACTTTCCGCGACCCACCAAAATACTGAATGGCATCCAGCAGGATGACTTTGCCGGCAGATCGGTGTCCTTCTTCGGATGGATTGCCTTTATTACAATGAGAATGCTGGCTCTGTCCACCTTCTGTGTCTTCTACCCGCGGGCTTTCTTCATCTTGGTTGGAGTACACTATGCCCTCATGCTGGGTTGCCTCGCTTTGGAGACCCGTTGTCAAGGGAGCTGGAGTCGCAACCTCTTCCTCCTGCTCCTCGCCTACATCTATATCTTTGTGCTGATGGAGTTTCGGGTGTGCTTCAAGAACATTCGTTTGTGGTACGGTGGCTACCTGGTGGTCACCCTCGTCGAGAACATTACCATATCCTCGATTTGGTATACCAACGAGGAGTTCGAGTCCTGGTGGTTTGGCTTCATCTGGGAGTGGATCGTCTACAGTGGAGTCCTATTTCTGGCCACTTTAATCGTTTACTATTGTATACTCCGACCAAAGGAGGTATCCCTTATAGTGGAAGACGATTCCCCACAGGAACCAGAGGAGCAATCCGTTGCTTAGCAATAACCGGTTAGTTTGTTATATCGAAGTAGCTTGTAAGTTGTCAATCTGCCACTGACAAACGAATAAATTATTTACCTAAGTATTAAGATCAAACACAACGATTAAAAGACTAATTCCAAAATGGTTGATCGTGGCAATAACTTGGTACTCCCAGTGGGTCCTTGTTCTTCGGAACTTACGGAGTCTCAAACCAGCTTTGCTCCACCCAAAATTAAGAAAGTTCTGCGTAAGTTTATGTTATGGGTATTCTAAAATTTGGTTAATAATCCAAATGGATTTCCAGCCACTCGGGCAAATCGGTTGGAGCAGTTCTTATGGCAGGAGCTCTTTGCCGAATACAACCGACAGGCTTCCGCTCAAGTAGACTTGGGTGAGGACCGCACGGAGTACTATGACCAATTCTGCAAGGATGTCCCGCCAAAGAACGGAGAAACTGAGGAAGTTCTGATTAACAAGTATCCACTGTACTGCACCACTGCCGTTACCGTTTGGAATCACGATGGGGATGTCACCCAGACTTTTAAGAGGAAATATTCTATAACCAGACCTATTAATGAGTGTACCGAAAAGTTTGCTCTTTAAAGGGGAGAGTTTTATGAACTATGCGAATCAGAACCCAAAATTCTATTTTAAAAAATAGCGCCCCGTCCACATCGAACATTATAAGTTTCCCTTTAAATCTGTTTATTTTAAAATATAATTACTCTGGCAATGTAAGTCAGTCTTTATTTACTTATAAAATCATTTATCAATAAAACGTATTTAAATTTAAAAAAACGAATAGATTTTTAACGGTTCGGTGAATAGCACACGGTCACTCTGTGTGAAAAATCGATATTTTCAGCGTGACCGCTTATGTGATATTTTCGGTACATTTAAATAAACGAAAATGGTATTTTAGTATATTTTTTATTGCCGTGCAGTATATTTCGCTGACGTGTATAAAATATCGAGGGACAGGCGGTGCTTTTTGAGCGATTTTCTTTTATTTTCCTATAGAATATAAGCGGCGTGTGAAAGCGCAACCAGCAGATAGGAAAATGTTAAAGTTAGGTGCGTAAGTTTACAGCTGTTTGGAGCGAAAACCCTGGGTTTTAAGCCATCTTCAGGAGAAACGCCGGCTGCAAAGTTGTCGCTCTCTCGCTATCTCTGTCTGATTTTCGTGGTTAGCCGATTGCCGGCGACTCCAAAATCTGAATGGTTCTAAATGGTTTCCCACCTTCCGTGTATCCCATTCCAGGTCTCATCCTCCTCTGCGTGATGGTCGCCTGCGGGCCGACGTGGAGTGCCCGTACCGTGGACAGCCACCTGGGCCAAAAGGATCTCAGCCGCCTGCAAAAGGTATTCGTGGACGGATTTGGCTCGAGTGACCTGCAGTCCATCTTCTTCTCCAGCCTCAACATCCAACTGACCGACGCCACCCAGAAGGAACCGCTGTGCAAGAAGATTGCCACGCTGCATGCGGAATCCAAGCTGAACGTGGGTCCTATATAAAACACGCCCATTTATCTGTATCCCTACTTACGCTTCTCGTTTTTAACTCCTTGCAGAGCTTCGAAAAGGACTACTACTACATTGGTGCTAGCAGGAATCTGGGCTGCTCTGCGAAAATCGACGAGAGTCTGCTCTCCAAGGTGTATGCTTCCCTGAACTCGGAACTGGGCAGCTCCCAGGAGATCTTCTACCGCGTGGTCACCCACAAGGTGCTCGGTGTGGAGATCAATGAAGCCACTCAGGGAAAACTGGTGAAGCGCCTGCAGGAGCTGCTCAAGAAGGATGACACGCTCAGCGGTCTGGGATACGCCTTCAACGTGGCCCCACTTCTGGGTGCCAGTGGCTCGTTCATCGCAAATCGCGTAGAGGATGCCATCGTGCAAGCGGACGAAGTGGACGGCAAGCTCCTGCAATTCGAAGGCGGCCTCAGCATCACCTCGCTGATCATTAATGGTGCTTTCGGCGTGAGCAAGGCCTTCAACAAGCCCTTGCCCGTCACTGCCGATCAGGCTGTAAAGTTCGCCAACTACTTCCTTAGCCGGCGGTCTGTCCAAACCGCCAAGGGAGCTCATGTGCTTATCGAGGCGCTGAAGACCATCAGTGGAGCCGATAAGATTGCCCCAGTTTGCGTGCAGCTCATCGGAAACGGTCAGCTGGAGGCCCAGTCGCCCACTCTCAACGTGGCAGTTGTTGATCTGCTTGGCAAGCCTTTGTCGCCCGCCCCTAAAGCCATTAATGCCAAGGTCATCCTCAAGAAGGACAGCTCTGTGCTAGCTGAGAAGATCGCTGTGTCCTCGAAATCCTCCGACAAGACCACCT